TTATAACATCATAATAAATATTTGTACTGTAGACATAGATCGCCAAAATTGAATACCTGCCGTTGTTCACGGCGTGTTCCGCGAAGCTAGATCGACAATTCTAATTCATGAAAAAATATTTTTTTTTCGTAATTGTATTATAACTAAAAAAAATAATATGCGGTATAATAATATTACATGACGCTCCTCAAGGTCGCGAAGACGCTTATTTTTACGAGCTTATGAGTAGTGAGGGTCGCCATCAACTACACTCAAATATGGTTAATCGTTTTACCGATAGAAGTAGCATAATATGAGGGATAGATAAATTAAAATATTTCGACGTAACATAATTATATTGCACAAAACGCGTTCATCGCCGAACTGTGTAGCTCATTACATATAACTCGTAGAGAATAAGTTTTTACACCAATAAAAACTTTTACTATTATCCCTCGTCGGTTTTTGTTCGTAATCAAGACATATAGCATTTTAATTTAAAGTTTTAATTTTTTTTTAATTTTTCAATACAACATATTTAATAGTTGTAAGTTATAACCAACCCGAGTAGCAATTCACACTGTGCAAAAAACACTGTGCAGTGTGCCGTGTGTTCGATTGGAGCGTAGGTCAGTGTTATAACCGTGTTTTAGCTAGAAATAAACTTATGCAGTTATGTACCTACTTACTAACCTATTCTGTACTGTGCACCATTAGTGTACATAATATCTGAGTTATAACGGCTCAATTATGAATCACAGCACTGGACACAAAATGTTAACCACGAATTACGCTTAGTACGTACAATCTGTAATGCACTCTACACTCCACAGTCATCATGTCAGTATGGCCAATTATAATAAAATAATTGAAAGTTGTATGTAAAAACAGCAACTACGAAATTACAAAAATAATTACATAATTTACAAAATAAACTTATATTAATTATAATTTATAATAATAATTAACCTTGTTCGCAGCGTCCCGCGTTTCCACCGCGGTTTTAAATAACCGTGGCTTCCACCATACTAGAGTATCTAAATCTAATAGTATCTACTACTTTATGGTTTCTAGTTTCCACAAATAATTAATCTTAATATTATGTCAATGATTGTTGGACAATAATAATAGGCCGGCGGCGATCTAATACCTACCTTATATTATTATAAGTTTCCGCCTATTGCATATTTGCATATACATAAATATAATATATAATCGGCAATTATTGTTTTGTATATTCTAGCTATTACTATACATGAATTTCCGATAACACTGACTAGGCAACAGGCACTGAGTAACAATGCTATTAAGTACGGTCATAGAACCGTGTATGGCACGGTACTGTAACACAAGTGTCGTATACCTATCTATCGAAAGGTACAAAAAAATATAATAACCCACAACTATTAGAATAACATTTTATTATTAAAAACAAACACAAATTTATAAACATTCAACCAGCGTGCAACGGAGGGATACAAAATAGATGCTCATAAGCCATAATCACTTACCTAACTGATTTGTCTATTTTATTTATAATTTGTAAATTATAAACGAGTTTCATGAAAAAATTTCATTTAACATTTCAGGAAAAAAGTGGGCTGTGTGCTTATTGTCTAGTAGTTCTGGTTACAAATATTTGAAGCATGCTACACGCCTGCACCCTACACAAAATCCTACTCATGCAGTCGATTATGTTTATTCACAAATGACAGAACACACAAATCTACTTCTCACAATCATACATTTAATCACGATTTAAGAAATACAGGTCACACCGCGACCTAGCTATAGTCTATACCAAAATTATTAAAGTTTGATTGTGAAAATGGCTCACAAAATGAGCTGTGAAAAAATATGTCAGCGATTTTCACTTACATCATACGGTATGTAAATAAATATTGTAGACATGATTTAATTTAACATATTATATAGGTGTATCTTAAATTGGGACTGAAATTTACTTTTTTCAGAAGGAGGGCGCTTGCTGTAATTACCATAAAGAACTCAGTTTGGTAGTCGCTATATTTATCATATCTCAATGTACAACTGCAAACCCGTGTTTCTTAAATCGTGCATTAATATAACGGACTCAGAGGCGTCATTTCAACTTTTTTATTGTTGGTGCCAAAATTTTTGCAGACCATTCAAATCATTACCATGCCACATGGAAATTTTTTTTTTTGGTGGATTAAGGGGGGGGGGGGGGGGGTTTAGTGGTGACAAAAACTTTGTGTAATATGTCACCTATATTAGTATGAAAACATCACAATATTATTACTATTTTTTAAGAACTATGAGTAGGTATTTTTAATGAGTTTATATTATATTGTGGATACCAGCTAGTTGTATTTGGTAAGCAAATTTATGGATACATTTTAGTCATACTTACAAAATTATCTGGTTTTTGCTTTTCAAATATTGTAGAAAACATACTTAATAAACTATGACAGTTTGAACCAGCTGTTAATAAAAGCTTTTAAGCAATACCATCAATAAACTAAGAATGGTCATTAGATTCAACAGTTCTACGAATACTTTTGACTCCTAACTAAAAATTAAAAGTATTTTAGTAATTATCAATTATAAAACACATTAAATATTCAAATTATTTTTAATAAAACTATTATATATTTATTTATTCTATGATATAATTATAGTCCATTAGTAGGCGAATATACAGCAAATGCTGTTTTCGATGCACCTCACAATTTATTTTGGATGTAGTGGGCTGATGGATATTTATTTGAAATTTATACAAAGAATCAATAATTTTAAAAATATTGAATTTAAAATTATTTTTTAACATACATTTTCAATGTTATTCATATGAAAAATGATACCAATATGCCATAGCTTGATCGAATTTTTGGAGGGGGTTTAAAACCATATCATATATTATTTTCATTATAATGATAAAAAAAAGAAGATTGATCACATCATATAGATTATAGATGGAAGACCTGTAAGACGTACTTGATCTGATGAGTTTTGTAAATAGTTTTATTTTTGATATTTCCATGGTGAAAATGTGTTTTCTGGTGTTGAAGTCGAAATTGGAAATGTAGCTAATAATTTAAAAAAACAAAATTCATATAAACATTTACTGTGTAGTTGGACCTCATTCAAGGGGTGAGAGCCCTTAAATACTGTATTATTGTATTAATCCACCGTTTGGCCGACGGTTTTTTGCCTTTGACCACCTTTGAAACTTTAATTTGTAAACATAATTTAAATATGAAATAATTATTTTATTTTGCACCTAATAAGTAATAGAGGGTGCTAGAATATGCAAATCGTAAAAATATTAGGCCATATTAGATACGATTTAATTGTTTTAAAATTAGCACAAATTCGTCCTCTTTTTAAAAAAATTAATAATAATATGGTTGTGCCATTTTTTGCTGATAATATTATGTATTTAGCATAATATAGTAAGTAGGTACAGGTAGGTATAGGCATCTGAAAAATAAAAAAGCGGGTAAGTGGATGTTACTCGGTTGTATATTAGGTGTCTAAGAGGTCACTGTAATGGACAGTATTAAATTTGAATTCAATGATATCAAATCATTGTATACGTAAAATGATTCTGAGCGGAGACGGTACGTCAGTTTAGGATATTTGATATTGTTATTAGTTATTATTAATATGGTACCTAGCCGGTAAGTTGAATTAATATTATTCTTAAATTATCAGTGATTCTGAAAAAATATTAAATATTAATATGTAAAATTGGGCTGTTTTGGAACCCAATTACAACAAAATGATAAACGTTATTCTTTGTGTTAATATGCAATCTTGTCCAAATTCGAACATAAATGTCTGTAATCTTATAACTGTATTCATATATTTTTTAGATTTCTTAGTTATAGAAAAAACTAAAACTACTTAAGTGGAACCTTGTTTTAAATTCTCAATTCTTAGCTGTTGAAATTGAAAATTGTATACATATTTTTAACTACAAAATCATTTTCAATTTTCAATTTGATAAATTTTGTTGGACATTCGAACTTTAAATGATTATAAAAAAAAAAATCGTGCTTATGTATATTAATTTGTCAATTGCTACTGTAACAATTTATCAAGAGACTTGTATTAAATTTTCATGCTTTTTGATCCAACCAATACAATTTTATTGACATATATAGAAAAAAATGAAAAAAAAATGAAAATTGAAAATGTCAGTCAACAGCTTAAAACGAGTCAAAATATTGTGAACATTTTATAACGTATATGAATTGATAAAATAAACATTTGGTGTAAATTTTGTATAACACATATAAAGTCAAGATTAATAAATAACCATAATAAATGAATTGGCTTCAGTAAAATATTTTTTAAATATAAAATGTTTGTGTACCTAATATTATACATTTTTCATAAATATAATTATTTACTATGTTACAATCATAAGTATTCATAACTTATATTGTAAGTGAGTAGATATAAATTGTTCTCATTTTCAGAATGAAAAAGCTACATTGAAATTAAGTGAAATTATGGGAACCTTAAATTGTTAGTTAATTATGACTGCCAATGGAAATTGTGAATATTATTCTCTGACGAATAGCTAATACCAAAATTAGATATTAAATTGAAAAAATGAAATAAAATATTATTTCAATAACACTTATAATACTATTATATGATTACAACATAATTAAAGACAAATTTCAAAAATGTCAACCAAAGCTTAAATTTAATAAAGATACTCTCAAAGTTTATTTAAAAATTGTTTTAATATTTTCAAAAAAATTGTGATTAATGATTACTCAATCAGGAATTACAAAAACTTTCACTACTGTTGAATGATGATTATTGAATAGGTTTAATCTCTAAATGATTTACAATAGGATTGAGAAAAAATTAACCTTATGAAATATGAATTATACAAAGTAATCAGTCAGTAAATACATGTGTTTCATTTTTAATGAATTTTAATAGATATTATAATGTAAAATGGTATATTTAAATAAAGTAATATATGTATAATACATATAAAATATAAAAATGTATTTAGATTAGTAAATAAGTATAGTTGAAATCAATAAAAACTGTTATTTTTCAACAGTATATGTTTAAAATGATAATGAATTAGGGTCCTGTAATAAGGAATCTAAATTGAAATCATTGAAATTGTCTTCATTGTACTGCTGATTTTCAACAACTTCATCTATGTCTGAATCACTTGAATCATCCATCTTCAGATAATCTACAAATAATAATAATTATTAATATTTAAATGCCTGAGTAATAAAACAACATAATATATTTAATGTATCAAAACAATTTATGAAGGGAATAAATAGAATCATTATGGGCATTGGCAGATATACGGGATGTAAGCTGAAAAAAACTTATTAATAACAACTAAAATAATACATATTAATTGAATTTCAGTTTTTTCTAAGTAAAACTGTAAGTGAACCACCTATTTTGAGAAACTACATTAATCCATAAAAGGTAATTTTGAGAAAACAAGGAAAAACTTTTTTACATTACGAGTGATACATGGTTATTTGTCTTTCACACTGATTATTTACACTAGTAAAATTTTTTAGTAACTGACACTGCTTTGATAACAGTAATTAACAAATAATACTTTTGTATTTCATTTAAATTGTAGAAGAACTTAAAGATATTGGGTCATTTCAAATATGATGTTAATACAATTATTATCATAAATAAATTATACTATTTAAATCAAAGTAAAATTATAACTAACGTTGTTTTAGTGTAAATAATATCAGTAAATTCAAAATAATATTTTATAAATAAATATATTAAAAATGAACAATAATTTATACTAATAAGTTATTACATAATATATTGTATGTAGGTAAATATTGTACAATATAGGTTATGTATTGGCTAGTAATCAAGTGTTGAATTGATACTTAAAAAATTATAATTTTAGTGTATTTTACAAAGGTACTGTCTTATGAAAGAAAATGTTATTTATTTTGTTTTATTTAATATACGGACATCAGTTAAAACATAATAATATTAACATTGTGTAACACATTGATACGTAAAACAATAATTTATAGTTAAATATATACTTAAAATTAGAGAATGAGTAAGATAATAAATCTAAAGTAAATATAGAATACAATTTAAATATACAAATTACTATTCAAATATAATCAAAGACAAAAGTATTACAAGGAGGCATAAGAAGGTTAGCAGGAGAGTTCAAGATATAATTTTTTGTTGAAAGAAGTGGATAAAAGGGTTTTGGATCTCTAGTATTAAGGTAATTAATTTTAAAACAGATTAAAGAGAGAATTTCAGGACAGTCTATTAAACCAAATATTAGTTTTTGTAAAAATGTAGAGAGTAAAAGTGTAGAGGTAAAGTGTACGGTCAGAGAGTAGAGAAATATTAAGAAAATTTAAAACATTTTTATATGTGCCGTGGATAGGTCTGTTTATTTTAAATTTAAATGAGATAAAACGTAAAAAAATTATTTTGCACAGATTCCAGCGTAAGAGCTTCTTTCGACGTACTGTTAATCCAGATGAGGGGGCAATACTCGAGATTAGAACGGATAAGAGAGATGTAGAGGATTTTTAAGGGAAGAGGATCTGAAAATGCAGCACAAGTGCGTTTAATAAATCCTAAGTTTGCAAAAAGCTTTATTTTTAATCATTTCAGTATGTAGAGAAAAATTTAATTTACGATCAAAAATTATACCCAAATCTTTAAATTGATTAACAAGCTTGACATTTGTGCCAGAAATTGAGTTTTGAGAGTGAACGGGATTTTTAATTAGGTAAAATTTCATAAATTTACATTTTTGAAAATTTAAAAAAGATTATTCTCATTACAACACAAAGTAAGACTATTAATGTCTAATTGAAAATTAAAAGCATCTTGTTCTGATTTAATAATTTTTACTTATTTTGCATCATTGGCAAATAGAAGGATATTAGAATTAGTGATGACATTAGGAAGATCATTTATAAATATATTAAAAAGAAGAGTTGACAAGTGGTCACCTTGAGGAACACCAGAACGTATATTAAACTGTATAGAGGAAAAATTTAGATATTTAACCATTTGGTAGCGTCCAGATAGGAATGATTGAAACCAATTTAGTAGAGAACCTGAAAAACCAAATATTTGTAATTTTCTAATAAGAATTGCATGATTGACCTAGTCAAATGCCTTAGAAAAATCAGTATAAATAATATCAGTTTGCGCATTTAATTCAAAAGAATTCAGGATTATGTTTTTCACCGCAGCTAAATTATTACATGAGATCACTTGAGAGTAAATCCATATTGATGATTTGATAGTAAGGAAGAGCAGTAGCTTGATAATTTTGAGGAGATTAGGTGTGAAAATAATTTTGGTATAATAGATATCTTAGAGATAGGGCAATAATTCGAAATTAACTAAGGGTAACCTTTTTTTAAAATTGTAGAAATAAATGAAGTTTTTAAAATTGATGGGAATAAACCTTTTTTGAGAGATAACTTAAAGATATTTGTTAATACTGGAGTTAAAATAAATCTACAGTTATAGAGGAATATAAAGGGTATACCATCCGGGCCTACATTAGAGTTAAGTTTGATATTAGAGATTAAATTAAGGACATCTAACTCAGTGAAGGAGATAGAATTTATAATTATAATAATAGTTTTAAAAAATGTATCAAGTAGGTGAATTAGTGTGAAGTCTCTGCTCTTTATTATAAAAAAATGACTACAGAAAAAGGCTTGACATACTCAAATGTATGACTCTAAGTCCACCTATGATTAGAGTATAAGACTACAAAAGTTAGGAGGTAATGTTATAAATGAAAAATGTTCCAAGAGTTAAATAAATAAACTAATGGATTTCAAATGTCTTTCTCTAATTAATAAATGCAGCTTATTTCAAATTATTAGTTATTAGTTATTTATAAATAAAATTGTTAGAAATATGTTTGTAGATATCAGGCTACCAGATTGGTACAAAACATTGAACGTTTATGCACTATTCATTATTAAATTGTGTTGGACAAATAAAAGATCATCTGCTGGATCATAAATGTCTAAGTATGACAATAAACTTTGATTAAAAATAATAGAACTTATTTGAATTTTTCTTATAAAACTTTGATTAAAAATAATAGAACTCATTTGAATTTTTCTTATAAAATGTGGGTTTAAATACCACTTAATTTGAATACACCATAATTTAATTTACTAATTTACTAATACTTAAATTTAATTTGATTAAATTGTGTAGAATTATTATCATTACCGACAGCTTCGGTCTGTCTAGTTGCATTCAACATTTCCGCAGCTGTTATTTTAGTGTTTTTCTTCAATACATTTCTTTTGTTATTCTATAAAAAAAAATCATTGCAAAAAATAAATCATAAGCTGAGAAGCTAATAATATACTATAAATTACCAAATCAGTTTTGAGCCTGTAATTCGCTTGTAAGAAACTTGAACCATCTTGAGGAATTCTTAACCCACTAGCAGGCTTTATTGGAGGCAGAGGTTTTTTGTTTAATTCATTACTCGCTTTCAATAATTCCTTCATGAAACAATTAAAAATTAATTAGAAATACAGTTTTATTTATACTTTGCAATTTAACTCAATAATTCTCAAATTTTTTGAGTAGTTCCACTATTTTAACTACTAATAATCTACACACAGTGCTTTGACCGTTCAGTTATGACAAGGGCAATTAATATGATTGTCTTTTGACACCAATGATGATTAGCACAGCATATCTAAAAACAGTTATTTTAAAGTCTAAAGCATAGTTGTATTTAAAGAAATTGAGTAACAGGAAATATTGTACAACAAATCTACATAATATTTGGCATTGTCAATAATATACCTACAGTGTTAAAATTAATATACATAATTTTATATTTAACTAGTGCCACAAAATAGTAATAACCTAAGTAATTTGCAAGATGTGAATTATATCAATTTTATACATGAACGATAGATAATACATATAAAATTGTATTGTCCTATGCCCTATAGTACCCTCATAGTGTTTAGTTTGTAATTTATCATTTAAAATTTTTATTTTTTTATACTCAAGTATAAGTGGCTATTTAATTAAATTATTTCATAATGTATAAACTATAAAATAAATATCATTTTTTTTTGTTTTGCATATTATATATACATATTAACACACCAAAAGGTATCTAAAATTACATGACTTTTGGCTAGTAAAAATATCTACTTGGTACTATTTAACAGCTACCAATTTAAAAATCTGTACAATATTGAATTTTTATAATTATGTTCTTAGTTAACAGTTTTCTAAATTCTAACTTATTGTAAAACTAATGAATATGAATATTTTTTTTTTGCAATTATTATAAATTACTATATTACATTTTTATTTATGCCTCAATTAAATATTCCTTAGATAATATGTTTATGGTAACCTCTCACATTTTCTTTAAAATCTATTGGTTTAAAAGTGATTAAATCAAAGTCATTTGATGAGCTCAAATATAGCTAACCAACAAATAACAACACTATCTCAAAATTAAAAATACAAATAGTGTTTGAACAGAAAAGTTGCTACAATCTCGATACTTAATAAGCAGACTATAAAAACTACTTTTTTTGCATTTTGTTGATTATAACTGTTACTAAGAGCATTAAAGCATTTATCATGATGGATTTTCAAAAAAGGATTTACAATACTCATTTTAAAACTAAACAATTTATGTCATCTAAATTTTTTGTAAAGCCTTACTATGAAACGGAAGTCTTCATAACAGTCATAAGTTATGAAAGTTAACTATTGATAATTATTTCTGTCGCACTATTGATATAACCTATCTTAGTGAATAAAAGTATAAGAATAATTAATTCATAACATCATGCTTATTTAACAAGTAGAAAAAATTTATTTTTTAAATTGTTTGTAACTGCTCCGCATGAATTAAAAATATTGCTGTTAGTTCAGATGAATATAAAATTATGGTTTTGCAAAAATTAAAGTATCTAGTAACAATTATAGTTAAATGTTTAAAGGCAGCAAATCATCAATAGAAATCAAACAACATAAAATTATTATTGAAAATAAAAATTATGTGAACATATTATGGTAATTAGAACATAGTGTGAAGAAACTGATAATGAATTATAATAATACTACTCAGGTTTAGACTTCATACTTTGTACATAACTGTATGATTTTGGTTGAAATCTAACAATGCTCCACCTTAAATCATAATTATGAAAGATATAAATTGTTAAAACACTTAACATAAATAATAATTAATATCAACAACCGTAAAAATCAAAGCATACATTTTGAATGTACCAAAAACATTTAAAACATAATTAGCAGTCAGTGAAATAGAATTTTATATAATATCCGATAAGATTAGTTTAGACCCAGGGAAATGTTTAAGGAAATATTGGTCGATCGTATTTAAGATTAATTATCCAAATATCGGTTAATCATGTGCATAATCTTAAGCACACATTTACTCATCATATACAGAGTAAAGTATTTATTAGAGATAAAAAAAGGTAAATTTTCCGATGGAGAAATAATTAAAGAATATTAGTAGACATACAATTTAATATTATGCTGGAAAATTTAGCTCATTTGGTGTAAAAGATTGGAGATGCCTGGTTAAGATTTTGGATTTTAAAACCAAGAATACTAGATTTAGATTATTAGGTACCTACCTTGTGTAATTTAATTTCTATAATACAAGTTACAATATTTAAATGAAGAATAAAAGAGAGACCTGGGGAAAGGGAGATATTCTACTTCAGCTTCAAAATAATTCAAAAACTTTTAAGATTTAAAAAATATCAAATTATATTACATCACGTGCAGGAGGTTTAAGAAATGTACCATCTTGGGCCATTTGAATTGCCATTTTGACATCACCAGCGTCAATTTTATCCTTATCAGCAAATTTCGAGCAAGCCTTAGCTTCTTCCAGAATGAGTGATGTGTATCCTAATAAATGAAATAATAAATCAATACTTTTATTTAACTGCAACCAGCAGGTACTTACTGTAGTTAAATTCCAGCAGGTGGTTTAAGACTTGTTGTTCATATTCACGTATTCCTAAATCATTCATGATCGATACAATGGTTTGAGAATCTTTAGGGGTGGAGTTTCCTTGCGAAGACGACATTTCACAATAGTTATCTTTCGTCTTCGGATTCCTGTGAAATAAATATAACTCAGATTAAACGACTACTAAAATAACAAGACAATAATTATTGAACACATTAATATAACAGCACCTCTAATAAACAATTAAAACAAGCGCGTGTACTCGCGATTTATAAGCGCAAATACCAGAAAACAAACGAAACGAAGTCAACAGTTAATAAATTAATACCGATAATTTATCTGCTTATCAAGGGGTTAAAGTAAACAAGATAGCAAAGTGGATCCACCTTGTATGGTAAGTAATGAAATAGTTTCATAAAAATGTGAAAACAAAGGTTCGTACACAGACGCCAGATAATGGACTGAAAACTAGCAGCTTATCAGTTATCAGTGGCCACGTACGCAATAACACGATGTTCGAGTGACAAGACGTACGGGCCGCGGGGAAGTCGTAATGGGCACTAAGCTTAAAAGAATTAACAACGCCATCTGGCCCATCTGTATAAATCTGGGCTAAATGTGACATCAAATGAAATCACCTTTAGGTTCAATATTCAATACCCAGTACAAAATATGTAATCTTTTGGTGGCTAACCCCCGGCCCCCGCCCACCTTGTCGTTTCCAGTTCAGTATAATATCTTAGTCCGCGGGTTCGCGCAATATTATGGTTAAGGGTGTCGGACCCGTTGCGTTTTTTTACAAAAATATGTCTTACAGGAAAAACCCTCACTCTCTGTAAAACAGTCGGATTTTGTCTATTTTTTTTTCATTTAAAAAAAGAGAACATTTTGCAGCCTTTTTTTAAAACCTTATTTTCAAAATTATAATTTTAGAAGCTAAAATATGCATTTGAAAATCAATATTTGTTATTTTCAAACATATTTTTTTCTATTATTTAAAGTAAAATAAAAAATCGGGCTTAGATCCGACCCGAAAACGTTCTCATCTTTCAGATTTATGTTGCATACCTACACATTTTCAATACTTGATTCCTTGTACGTTTTTTCTTTTCTACAAGTATAAGAGTATGACTATTACACACGAATAAACTTTATATTTATTAGGTTTAATAAATTCTATAACTCAAAAATCAAATTTAAAAAATATCATTGAAATAAAATAATAAGTAGAACACTTTATCGTCACACTTCATGGAATGTTGTACAAAACTATTTTATGTTCATATTATAGCATATACGGTGTACACTATTCACGATAAAAGCAATAACGGATATTACCTTGAGTCACAATAATAATGACAGACTAATAAAGATGACCTATATTATTAACTACTCATACGAAAACAAAATCTGAGTTCCCTTATTGAATTTAATGTCATTGACTTATTTTTGAAAACAAAAATGGAAAAAAAGATTTAAGAGTTGCATGTGTACAGTACAATATATTACATTTTATTTTGTTTGCTATAATTATTTATTATATTAAATTATTATTTTAAGGAAGTTGTTACTTTTTAAATATAACATTTCATATTGTTTTCAAACATTTATTTCTTATTGTATGAATAAAATATTAAAAGGGGGAGTCTAGACGTATTAGTGCTATTTTTTTCAGTGTCTCCCCAGCCAAAAACCTCAAGCCTCGCTACTGCCTATCTTACTATTTTAGTTAATGGTTGTTGCTAATATCGGCAACATATTTATTTTTTGTATTGATTTATTGAGCCGTAAGTTCCATCTATAGTATATTATCTAACTATCTAACCTAAACATTCGATGAATTATTTTTCACTATAATTCAGTTTCGTTATTTTTAATTTCGATATTTTTAAGTTGCTATTTTTTAATTCGCTTTTTTTCACTCTTTTGGCCGGTTTCTACTAAAATCGACTTGCTTAAGAAATATCTATCATGCGATGCGCATGTTTTGGTAGTGGACATTTCACTCCCCAGGCCACACCCTTCAGACTTTGTTCATAATTTGTCACACTGTGTAACTTAGTACTTACACACTTTCACAGTTCCTTTACTAGGTTCTTGCACTGTTTCATGTTCAGAGCTGCACTACTTACGAGTGCCATTCAATAGTCAACACTGTCCTACGCTGAATACTAATTTATGTGGAGTAGGTATATTATGAAATATGAATACTCTATAAATCTATAATCTTTATTGCTTCATAGATACATACTCATATTATTATACATGTTACATATTACTTAATATATAGATATTAGTAAATTACAGAAAAATGATTTATTGATTATATTTTGAATATTAAATAGATTTCGTTTATATATGTCTATGAAATGTCAAATGTTGTTTAATATTCAAAATATAATCAATAAATCATTTTTCTGTAATTTACTAATATCTATATATTAAGTAGATTACCACGAGGTCATCTCTCTCTAATACTCGTAACTACTGAGTACTGAGGTCATTAAATCGAAACAAATCATTAAAGATTAGTTCTTTTTTACTAAACTTGTCGTTTTTTGAAATAATAGTACTTAGTTCAATTTACTTAGAATTTATTTATATACAGTTTTTTGGTAAATTTATTTTATCACTATGTTTATTTTTTTTATTCAGTAAGTACTTTCCTTTATTTGTCATTCTTTGTTTGTAAGCTTTAGTTGGCATGTTTAAAATTTTGAACACTTTAATAAGTAATAACACACTGACACAATAGATTAATTAATTAATTATAATTTATAAAATATATTTAAATTTAATAAGCGATGGTCGAGAACGAAATGAAACTAATAAATACTCGAATCCGGGGTATAGCAATAATGAAAATAAATGCGTCGTAATTTATTAATACGCACACGAAATGGAATGAGAAAACTGGTCGTCACGATAACGCAAGATGCGGCAGCCGTGATTTCATTATAATTTCTCAGTAAAAAGTTTGCACGTTTCCTTCAATAACATAATTTCGAAGTTTTCGATGATTTTTGGAAAAAGATCATCTGCACAATTTGTCTGATTTTTTCCAAATAATTAGGTATTAATTGATTCAGTAGATAATTAGTTAGGTCCGGTTTAAAAAATCCAAAATGTACACCGTATCATTGCAACTCCTGTTTCGAGATAGTTTACACTGTCGTGCAGCCGTTATATTTTTTAGTGAACAACGGGCCTTACCACGGGTGCTCGACTACCGACTGAGAACAAATATTATTGTTCGAACGCGGATCCATCTTGTGCCGTGAGGCCGTGCAATTTTTGATGCTACTCGTATATCCGTACCGCCGAGTCTTAGAACCACAAAAAGCCGAAATAGTTGTGCTAACTATCGTTTACTTGCACAATTTTTTAAGAAAAAGTAATGTATCACGCAACATATAAAATCCACCAGGTTCATTCGATGTTGAGGAAGACGGACAGTTAATCGAAGGGAGATGGAGACAAAATGTACAACCATTACAGCCTCTAGTAAATGTTCCTCGCAGATCAAAGGCATCAGCTCAAGATATTAGAAATGAATTTGCTACATATTTTATCAGTAACGGAGCTATACCGTGGCAAAATAAGTATTCATAAGTTTACATAATTTATAATATTATAAATTAAATATTATATTTATATACGTATTAACTAAATAGTTAATATTTTATTTACTATGTATATTATGATTATTATTAATTATAAAGAATAAAAATGTATATCGTATATTGTATTATTACTATCTGTGCTACTACTCACGTTTTCTGTGTTGATAGTTGGCCTGGGTTCATCTCGGTCATGCAAAAAGGCAAACGCTTCAAAGGCAAACCATTTAGAATTATAAACGTCTTTTCTTGCTAAATAAAAAAAAAAAAAAACATTTATCATTGTATTTAATTTAAATTACTATTTTCTAATACTACATTAATTTTTGAGTTAATTTGTACTCTTGGCATAAAGCTATATAATTTTGAATTATGACAATTTTCATAGAAATGTTATTAAAATTATTCAAATAATATCGCGTTTTATTTAGTCTATACAAAACTATGCTCTATAAAAAATACGGTCATACAAATGGTAATACGCAACTATTGAATATGTCTGATAAATGATTATAATTTCTTGATATTAATCTAAAAATAAAATGTGTTAAATCGTTTACCAACTCGGCTGATAGTCGATAAAATGGAAAACTATTTTTATACTGAGTGTCATACAGTACAATTATTTAAATCATTACTAAAAACAAATCGTTTCTATAATGTAGCATAGAGATTTTAAAACGTTAATGAAAATAAAACAAAATACTTTAAAATTATTAATTACATTATGTAGACCGTATTTAGTTTTTTTCTTTTAATAGGTAAATAATATTTGGATAATTTATCGGTACTTAAAATTAATCAATACAATTTTAAAAGTGGGCTAAAAATTGAATTTGAATTGTATTAATAAACTTACTGCTAATTAATGAAAAATCTAGCATTGTATTTAATACTATATTACTATCTATAATACTATTACTATAATATCCATTTATACTATTTATAGCACCTAGGTATCAACTATCAATTGTACATACGTACCTGTACCAGTTCCCATAGTTTTTTTACCTTTGGATTTTTCACGCCAATAAGAACCCAACAAACTTTGGCTTTTTTTCTTAACGTCTTAGACGTCCCTGTTTAAATTTTTGGCAATAATTTCCCACGCTTCGTTTTTTTTTGTTTTAGAAAAATAATTATTATTTTTCGGGTTCCAAAGCACTGGGTGGAGTTGATAATGTTGAATAAAATTTAAACATGATTCATTATTCCATTCCGTTTTGAAAAATTAAATAAAAACGTATATGAAGCGTCACTCGCAATCGCAACAACATTCGCGTCTATACTGTCAAGTGTCAATAAACGAAGGGTTATGGAGATTATCAAGATTCACGACGCACAACGAACGCGAGCCGAGCACATCGGCTCGCGTTCGCCGTATGTCGAAAACGCTTGTGTGTGCTCGACATACCGTCCACACTGTATAACGCACACCATGAGCACACATGCTTTAGTGTGGACGCAGCTTAAACGAGAAAAAAAGTTAGACGCTGAGGTAGCCTGGAAGCTTCTCCCCCCTTCCTCTCTCTCAGGGTGCTGATTATTTGCCATAATACGAGCCGGTCAACGCCGACTAGGCTGTCTTTTCGCAACGGATAAACTTGGCCGGTGACGCCGTTGCCTGTTTCCGTTCTCCGTCTTTCCCGAGCAGGGCTATTGACCTATTGTGATCGTTTTTTCGCTATCGTACGTGTAATGAACTTGGTAGTGAATAAGTGATATACATTTGTGAACAGCGGTCTGTCCATTGTCGGGGGCAATCAAATTGACGCCAACCAGCCAGGACAAGGACACAGGAGTACCGAGTACGAGGTCATCGAACAAGCCAGTTCGTTGTTTCCTTATTGTGTGTTGATTATAGTGGATGTCAGTGGTCCGCTGCACTGATCACAGTCGGACTACACATATTTTGTATTATTTGTATTAATTATCATATAACTAGTTTGTATTGGCGTATACTTTCGCAAGGATGTGAGTTTGTTTCTTTATATACGTAAATAATTATTAATTGAATTTTGTAAACGTGTCTCGCACCCTTATTAATATTATAAGTTGTTGTCAATTATATTACCTTGTAATACCTAGTACGCATATTATTTTCGTGAAATATCTACATATTATATACATATACATCGAGTCACCTGCTCTGTTCTTAACATTCGCGATTCTTGCCGTTGACCACCACAGGTTGTAGGAACGGCAAGGCGCAATAATTATAATATACAAAGGTATAGATTTTGAAGTTCGTATAACAGTCTTTTGCTGCTGCAGCATGCCTTGGATCGATAAACAAATATGAACAATTGAACATACAAAAAAAAAAGCGGGTAAGTGGATCTGTCGCTCTGCTGTGCATTAGGTGTCTAGAAAGTCGCTGCAGTATGGGTGGTATTAAATTTGAATTCAATGATATAATATCATTGTAAACGAAAAACGATTCTGAGAGGAGGTGGTATGCCAGTCTAGAATATTTTATATTGTTAATACTTATTCTTAATACGGTGACCGGTAAGTTAAATTAATATTATTCTTAAATTATCAGTGATGCTGGAAAAATATAAAACATAGGAACTTATTTATCTAATATAGGGCTGTTTTGGTACGAAATTACAATAAAATGACTAAAATCGTTACTCCTTATGTAATTTCGTCTAAATTTAAACTTCAAATTTTATGAAAATTTGAATTTGACTTTCCGATATAAATGTTTTTTGATAAAGGTAGACAAACTTATAAGGAATCTTGTATTAAATTTTTTAATCTTAGATAAAAAAGAAACATTATGAATTTCTAACTCATAATAATTTGCAGATTTCCGTTATTTTTACAAATGTTGTCAAAATTCTAAGTTCAAACGCGCATAAAAAATTATTGTGGATTTACGTTCGACTTTTTTTTTAAATTTTCATTAACAACAACTAACAACAACAATGAGGAATCTTGTGATACATTTTCAAGTTTTTTGACAGAGCGAAACATTTTTTACTGGCATTAATTTAAAAAAAAAAACAAATAATAGCTTATAAAATAGTTCAACATGAGTCAAAATATATTGAGAATGGCAACGAATGAATATGCTCCGCCTCCGGTTAATAAAACAATCTTTAAGGGAAACAAATTGATTATATTAGTTGGTCGATATCCTATTTACATGCCAATTAATTATTATTTATCAGCTGCATCGACCATTGCACATCGTCGGCGAGGCGGAGAAAGATGCTCATGTAGTGTAGCTTTATTATGGTCACGAGAATTTACCAGGAAAGGACAAAATATGTATACATAACTACCCGTGTATTGTAGATTACGCTGTGCGGTGGAATTTAAACTGTGTCATAGTCTAAAACTAAACACAATACGATGTAGAGAACTTATTATTTCAAAATACATAAATAACGGTCTAGAAAATATTTCTTTTACAGATTTTAATTAGTTACAATAAAACATTAAAACTGCATTTATGGAAACACACACACACACACACATATATATGTATATTAATATTATTGTTTTTGGGCGTATATCATTTGCGCCGAAATGACCTATTTACCTGTAAAAAATCTATCGATTGCACCTCGCATCAATTCCGCAGAATTTTCTTACGTATTGATCCGCTTAGGAAAAGTTTCATAATTCCATCGAAATAAATTAAAAATGATTTGTGTAGGTGAACCTCGTCTTCTTAGACTTTAGAGCAATGGTTCATTGGGGCTGTATATAATTCATTGATCATTCTAATAAACATTCAAAATATAACTGAAAGATCATGTAAAACCTAACAAATCCTTGATTACATTTTATGAATTTTACACTAAAAACTAGATTAATGTATGAATATGCACTATAACTAATAAAATCAGAAACTTAAAAAACCAATGGATGCAATTGGATTATATTGTAAATCAAAATTTTTTGAAAATTTAAAATCGATATTTAATTTAAAATTATATATTTTTTAAATATATTTCGTTACCTAATAAAAATTAAGTTCAAAAGTATATTTCAAGATCAGTACTTCAAAATCAAAATACTTTTTGTACAACTGTAGCAAGGTAGTTAAGAATTAGACCATAGTTATTCCCATTCGTTTCCAGATGACGGTAATATTTTTTTTGTTCTTCAATTTATTGTCATAAATAAGAGGAACAACTACACAATACGTCAATTTAAACTAGAAAATTAATTACTGGGCATTAAGTAAATAGTTGATTTCTGAAAGATCAAATAATTCACATAATAGTATAGTTAGGTACTAAAATAAAATACGTAGGCATATATGCGATTGTTGTATATTTTAACAAATTCTTATATCTTTAAACCATTATGTTTGAATATTAGGTAGTTGTCTGTGTGCGTTTTAAATGACGTTACCACTAGCTAGTCATTAAAATATTTATCAAAGGTGAGAATAACTGTATAAGAAATAAGTTAATAGTTACAAAATAATAAATTTCGATAACTCCAAAAGTTTAAAGTTAATAATCATGAAAAAAATACTAACTCAACTGAGTTAAAAATAAGTTAATTCGGATTTTTTACTATCACCGAGGTCAAACATTACTAAGCAACTCATTATAATCAGTGGCTTAATTTTTATCGTTTTTACGGGTGGAAGGGGGCAAATGTATCTTTTTGCCCCCAGATAACATACTAACCTTTTTATTAATGAGATCTTATGTACTTAATATTATTTATCGATATGGTTACCTATTGCTTACTATACCTACAAACTACAATTATTGTTTCTAACCCATACAATGAGATTTTAGTTTTAATAAATTATTTTGCCTCCTATAATTTTTTTACACAGCAGTTACATTAGGTAACACTACTTATAATAATATTTATGTGTTATAATGATCGTGCAACACACGCCCTTACCCATTCCACCCTCAAAAATTAGGAGAAAAAATCAGCATCACTGTGGCGGGTCTCAAACAAAATAATATCGTTAACTTACATCATTGTCTTAGATAATAATCCCTAGCTGTGCTCTTGTTTGGGTGGGTCTTGGGTACCGTGAAAGACTGACACAAATAATATTTATAATAGTTATTAAAGATACAATTAAGTACGACATTAGTAAGCCCCACTAAGCTTATTTATGCTGTATTTATATAGCCTTAACTATTAAGTTTCATAAATAAAACTCTTTGAGAGGGTGGGGGTCTAACTCTTTTATTTATATGGCAATCAACTTTTTTTTAAACAAAACTGAACTTACCACACATTTTATTGTGTATCTCCAAAACTTTTCAAAATTTTACTATAATTGTTTTAAATTTTAAAGCTATTTATGTGATCTAACATACTCTAATACACAATAAAATCAGAAGTGTTCTAATTTTTCGATTAAATTAAAAAGATAACAATTTAAATTAAATTGTTAAAAGAAAAATAGCTTATTTTTGTTTAAATATTTAATTCATCAAAATTAGAACTTTCATTTTTTTCATTTGGTTTTTATATTTTTAATGCTGCTATTAAAATGAAATAGTGATTTATTCTACCTACATAACCTAAAAAATATAGCATATATTACACAATTAATTATTATTTATTTATATAATTGTACATTGATTCAGCAAATTTTGTTGGAGGAGACTTCAAGACTTGAGTTTATGAAATTAAAAACCTTGATATAATTGTCATGAGTTTTTATCAATCATTACATTGGAAGACACTCCATTTTTTATTTTATCTAGTAAGGTACATGAAAAAACTATGTTTTAAAAATTTTAAATTAAATTATAAATAAAATGTTACAGTTAACAGCAATTGTGCCTTGAACAGAAGAAGGGATTGGAAGACTAGGATAATTAAATTCTGATATCAATAATGATGTGTTTTGCAATAAGTAACGTAAACATAGTTATTTAGAACTACTAACTACTGTTGGGATAAAAGAAGGACAGCATTGATCTAATAATCAAATGAGAAAAATAAAGCATTTGATATCTAAAGCTGTCTATATATCCTATTATTAATGTAATATATTGAACTATTTTTACACCTTAATATAATGATATATTACAAGTACATAATTTATATGAGCCAGTTGTTTTTAAAGCACGTATCCCCATACGTTCACTATAAAACGCTCCTGAGAGATTACAATAATACTTCTTTGAAGCTACTGTTTTCTTATTATTAAATAAGTATCTCTCTGTGTTGAACAAATCGAGTCAACGAGCATATTTCTTCCTACTCTCTTCAATCGTACAATTTTACAATTAATCAGGGCTTGAAACCAGTTTCAAAATCGGTTTTGAATACCGGTTAAAACTGTTTAAAACCCAACATCGAAATCGAAACCTCAAAAACACAATACCAGTACTCAAAATTGAAAACCAAATCGAAAAAAAATGTATATTGGTTATCAATATCAAAATTGATATCGCAAAAATTAAAAACCGGTAGCCAATATCAAATTCAAAATCGAAAATTTTTTTTCGGTTTCAAGCCCTGCAATTAATTTACAGCAGATTTATATATTAAGTTATTACTTTTTCATTAATATAATAACCAAGTAAGTAATATAAGCACATTTTTTTTTGAATGTATCATATTTTTTTTAATGTTATCTTTACCTAGTAATGAATAAAAATTATGAGAGAGTATTTCAAAATAATGATAATTTTTCTCAGTTTTAGTCAAATGGGTGACATTTTTATGTTGAACTAAAATATGTTTTCTTTTTAATTGGATATTGCATTTTACATTAAAAAAAGATGATTAAAAAAATATAAACAAAAAAACGGTATGCTAAAATATTTAAAAAATATAAAAGCAAAAAATAATTTGCTAAAATATTTAATAAACAATATTCAGACATGCAACAAAGTGTTTATATGGACAGTTTTACGTTAATAAATAATAAGTAAAAAAGTTTCTACAGGAAATATAAAGTAATACAGATAACAGTTGGAAAGCGGCTTACCCATCTTGAATAAATAATGTGTCCACTGTATACATCTATTAATAATATTTATCGATTATGAGTTTATAATCACAATTTATTCTAAATGCGATTTAGAATACAAGATCATTTTCAAAATAATTAATAAATCAACAAGTGTGTTTTGGACCAGTAACAGATTTTCAATTTTACTCTGAGGTTACCTTATTAAAATCTTACATTACCGAATTATGATGTTAAAACAATATATTATATTTTTACTACAACAATAATCGTTGAATTTGACTTGAATTTGAGTTGGCGCTCACTGCTTGGATGATAATATATTAACCATGAAAATGGTATTAAACTTCGTGACCGCGATAATAAGGGGTTGGGTGATAATAATACTGTGATAAGGGGAGCTGCTCCGAGAACCTGCAACGTGTTTGTTCTCTAAACTACGATTTTAGGTTAGGTTAGGTTCGTCATCCGTCATCAGAATCTAGTGCTGACTGTATTGAGTATACTCCACAGTGCCACACACGATATAGTTAGTATACAGTTGGAAACAAATTACTAAAATTCAAAAATGACTTATTCCTTATTATCTGCCTAGTGTCTGCAGCGTAACATATAAAACACCTGTTTGTTATGTTTTTTGTTTTAGTACACAGATATCAGTTTTTCGAGATCCGATATACATTCATTTGGATCCTAGTTTAAAGAAATAAATTAAACGTTTAATTATACAAAACATATTTTCAGTGCATAAATATGAGCCAAAAGGATCAAATTTTTCCATCAAATCATAAAACCACATTTGTGGTGGATCACACTTCATACTTCAGTTTGAAGAGTAACTCGCATATCAAAATTATCCCCAAGACACGGTCATCTGAAAATGGAACACCAGTAATCATATTCAAATCAATGTGGACGTGTACCATTGAAGCTGTAGTGGATTACTGACGTATCGTCTGGGATCTATTTCCAGAAGGAAAACTTATACGCATTATTGGCAGCGACAGGCAACCTCGAAATTTGAATAATTGGTCATCTAGTCAACAAAACGTTAACTATATACAGCATCGTTTGTCATTATTAGGGTCACCCTCAATACATGTACCAAACTCAAATCAAAACTCCAATGTTGTGTACGGATTTCGTCCTGCAGCCCAAGCAATGATTGAATGTACTGCAGCACAAATGGATCAAGAGGCTAAGAAAAATAATATTGAAGTTCAAAACAAGTAATTTGTTTTAATTATTTTAAATTATAATTTTACATATGGGTACCATACATGTTAAAGGTATAATACTGAGAAAATGTATTTAATATACCAAATTTATCTGAGATATTAGTTTTTTTTAAATGTATTTATTTCTAATGCCCTTATCAGAAACTTTTTTCAGTGCTAGGAGGAGAGGGGTGATAACTTTTTTGTTACTAAATATGTGCAGTAATAATTATTTTGAATTTAAAGTTTAGTTTCTCAAATAAAATGTACTTTTTCCGAATTCCAAAGTAGGTAAGGTAAGGAATAATTGCATATTATTATTTTATAATGTACATTCATAAATTCACTATTATTATTTTTGTACCTAAATCTAAATCATAATATATGTATTAAAAACTATTTTTTGCTAATATCAAAAAGAGAATGGATATTAAATAAATAATGCATAATGCATATATTTAAAAAAATACCTCATGTCTAGTTCATCAATACAGAAAAATAAGTTGGATTCAGATTGATTAAATATAATGTTTCATGTGCCAACTTTAATATAATAATAATTAATAATATATAATACCGAAAGAAAATAATTTGAACAGTAGTTAAACTCTGGGTTAAAAACAGTGTTATGTTTGATATGGTATTGGTGATGTAACTCCAGTAATTTATGGAATGGATAATTTCTTAATTTCTTATGTTTAGTTGTGTTCGTTAACTTTTTTTAATAAATTAAAAAGTTTTTAAGAATAATTATTGTAATAAATAATAAAAATTAAATTATAGACATGGACCTCATCAAATATTAATTTATCTAATTTCAGTTGCAGAACTATTATCATCACATCAATCAGGGACAACCCGTCAATATATAATGTCGTGTCCGCATTTCATAATGAAATGATCAAAATCAATAAATCTGTATCTCCGCCTATTTCAATGTCTATTCATCATTGTCACTTGGTAATAATTAACACATATCCAGATTCTATAATATGTGAAGTCACTGATCAGCCACTTCATCCCATATCACCAATACTAGATTTGGAAGTGCATTCAATTCCTGCATCAAAAATTGGTGTTAAGATATCAAATCTTTTATTAAAACACTACAATCTATCTAGCACAACAGTTACTGGTATTCCCATGAAGGCAGAGCAAAATGGCAATTCATCAGCAATTTATGATGTAGAAATATATCATGCAGCTACTGCATATTCATCTATTTTAAATGCAAATGTAGCTGATGACAAAGCACTGGTTTCAAAAAAAGAAGGAGCTGACTACGAGACAATTAAACTAAAATGGTGTACACCTAGGTTGAACAACAACTTGCCAGATATTCACAAATGTACGACACTACATAGAATCACTCCAGTTGATATAAACAGCAGACAGACAAAAAGTTTGACAACATTTTTACTAAAAGGTCGATCAGTTTTACTCGAGATGATTAAACGAGGTGGTAGTAAAAGCATTTCACATATTTTAAAATCTCACAATGGTGAATTATTTATACATACAGTGTCATCTGGTAGGTCAGTATTTGAAGGCCATCCAACCATTCAGGATGGAACTGGAGGAAAAGTAACTCAGTACAGAAAAAGAGATTTTTGTAATTTGATGAAGTTAAATTTACTGCAACCAGCAAGTAGAAAACAAACAGAAAATAAAAACAATATTGATGATGCAAAAGAAAAGTTGAAAAAACAAACTGCATATTGGCCACTAACAGCAACGGCAACTATAATAAATAATTTGAAACCATACACGGAACCACTGTTGTCATTAATGGTTAAAGATAATATGAGTGGTCAAGAAGTAGTAAATTGCCAAAAATGTATTCATGATTTAAAGGCTGTTGAATTAAAGAATGAACACCTCATTACACCCAGTACATCAAATCCACATAAAAAGATGAAAAATAAAATCCAATTCAAGTCCATGTGGGCAGAGTTGGAAACATTTTTAAAATCAAACTTATACACAGAGAATCACTGTAAAGTGTTGCAATATTTATTTGAATGCCTCAACAAAGTTGATGAAGAAAATATCATTGAGAAAGCTTTAATGAGTTTCAAGAAATCTTTGGCAGACAGGCCAAGTGTAAACCAAGCTATTACTGATTCACCTATGTCTCCGCCATTAACTGAACAGACAGGAATACAAAATTATATACCACATAAATCTGTTGATGTGGGTCCAAAGAGTGTTATGTATTTGCAATTACTTCAGGATCAGAAGCATGGTACAGTAAACGATTCTTCTCGACCTCAGTTTGCTGGTAGATTAAAATCTACTCGAAATAAAAATGGCAATTTGTTTTTTAAACTCTATCAACATATTGATGACAATATAGATACTAAGAGTGTCGAATAAAATTGAAAATATTTAATACTTGTTTGATTTTGGTCTCTTATAATATTGTTTTGTATTTTATCCGTATTGCGATGCATATTGTCTGACTCAAATAGAATAATGGTTTTATACTCATCAAAAATCATTATAAAATATTTTGTACTTTAATAAATATATTTTTTTATAGCTGGTATATTATCATGTTATCACTATTACTGTATCCCAAAATTGTAGTCAAATTGAATTGATTCAAAATATTATCACAGAATGAAGTCCGGTAAGTCCCAGCATTAGATTCATTATCTAAAAAAATTATTTTATTAATTAATAGTCCATTACCTATAGGCTATAATCATAATTAATTAAATCGTTTGATTTGTATGTTTTGATTTTATTATGACATACAATTTTTAATTAATTGTACTGCTTATTTAATGTACTATTTAATTCCTCTACAAAAATTAATTAAATTAATGTTACACACAATAAAGTGAAATCAAAATTAAAATTACTGAATTCTGTAGAAACTACTTTCGGTCATAGTCGAAACTAGTCAGCAGTCAACACTTGAAAACATTTCATCACTAAAATGATCCAAGCAAACATGATGGTACTTAAATAGGACATCAAATTATTTGTTTAGCAAATCTTGTTGTTCACATTTTATTGACCATTCATTACAGCTGTAAAGTTTACAAACATTTTACTAGTTAAAAATGTAAATGAGCATTATTAGCACAAATTTACCGAATCACATTTTTAGGAACACTAAAAAACCTGCATTTTTTTGTTTTTGTTGTCCTATTGGCATTAATGCAACTCTGAGCTAAACATTGAACAACCATATTGAGAATTTTTGTAATTGACTAACGTCTCACTGAAAGCAGAATAAAGTCGCCAAGTCAGGCAGAACAATTTATATATTTTAAAAGTTAAATGATAGGAAATTTAAACTGATTTAAGAATAAGACTACAAAAGTACAAAATTTAAAACAAAATTAATAACGGTTATCAGTTATCACTGATTATAATCATTAATGTTAAAAGTACCTCAATTGAGTCAATTGAAATAGCTGTTTATTTTGCCGCCACCGTGAGTGTCTAACCCCCGATATTATTAATCCATATTAAATTAAGTAGTTCTTAACTTTTATATCAGCACGACACCCTAACTTCAATCTAAATAAAATAATGGTAATCCTGTGTTAATTCTGTTCCAAAGGGGATATAAGTTGATGTAAAAAATGCTACCCAGGGAAATCTTAACACTTTGAAAAAGTGCAAATAAATTTGGATCTCATGGGTGCCCTACATTAATACTACTCTTTGAGTTTACTGTACAAGAACAACAATCTTCATTCAAATAATTTTAAATCATACTGAATTTCTACATTTTGTTGTGTATTCAAGTATTCATACAAGTAGTTTATATTCCTACCAAAAAAATAACTGATCATTTTGGGAAATTTTTTTATACTTTTTGAGCTGTTTATATAAAACTCTTTTTAGGATTTATGTTGATAAAGTTTCTGTTTCTTAGCCGAAAATCTGAAAATATAGTTCAAGGGTATTCATAAGTTTTTCTCACGGCACTTTAATTTGTATTGTTTATGAAATAGACAATTACATTGATCAGTTGATGAGAAGACAGCCTAACTGGCCTAACTGTCTAACTGCCTATAATATAACTTAATATATTTTATGATACTATTGTGACTAAAGTAATTTATTTTACTATTAAGCATTAGTACTAGTACAGTAGGTTAAATTCATTTTTGCCAAAAAAATAATATTTGAAATGTCATTGTGTGTTTAAAATATTAAAACATAATAATATACTGTAGAATTTCCATAATATACACCACGAATAATATTTTTAAATTACAACAAAATATACTAAATCGATATTCTTAGCGTTAATACATAAATTTCGTTCAAATATGAACTTAAAATGTCTATATTGGTTACAGTAGGGACTATTATTTTTAAGAAACGTTATTTTACATTTTCAATTCTTATAGTTGTAAAAGTTGATCATGTTATTATTTTTTAACTGCAGAATAATTTTAAAATGTTTTTGATAAATATTGTCAAAATTTTAACTTTAAATAGGAGCTTATAAAAAATAGTGCCTATGGTTTTCTAATATTTCTGAACTATTATTATAACTACTTATGAAGAATCTTGTATTACATTTTCAAACCTTCAATTTTAAAAAGAAAATTTCAGGGTAACCCAAATAATTTTTTATTTTAAATCTTCTTTGTAATATACCATTTTGTAATATTGTATTGTACATGGTTTGTTCAAAAATCCAAATAGTTCAAACTCAAAAAATGTACGAACAGCAAAAAAATCTTACATTTCTTTCAAACTAAAAATGTTCCCGGTGTTTATTTTATTTTGTCTATAATTGTGTATACTCTATATAGTTATACAGTATATACTATATTCTATATTATACTATGTATTTAAATTTTAAATATTACAAAAGTAAAATTATAACCACAATATCGTCCGGGCATTGATTATTTCTTGTGCTATTGAATTATTTTTAGACTTGCATAATTATTTAATATTTTGGTTTTGTTGTTTTGTACTTTTTATAAAATCAAAGTTCATATCACAATTTTCAAACAATTGTACCTACCTAACAACTTTTACTCTATAGTCTATATAAAAGAGATGGGTATATAATATAAATTATAAATGTATAATACTATAATTTTAAAATATGAACTAAAATGTTAGAACTGATAAAACTACAATTAAATTAAAATATGAAGTGTATTAAATTGGTTATTAGTTATTACTTATTTTGGTTTGACATAACTCAGCAGAGTTCGGAATAGATAATTGTATTAATTTAATATTTATCTATATAAAGACAAAGATAACTATAATATACTTATAACTAATATGTATATATAATAATCATATATGTAATATATAGTATAAACTACTATTATAGTATTATAGTTTAATTAATACATACAGTTATATTAAACTGTATCTAGATAAAGATAAAAATTAATACATTTTAATATAGATAGATATAAAATAATACGTACATTTGAAACATACTAAAAAAAAAAAAAAACATAAAATAAAATAGTTTATGTTTTAAATAAACATTAAACACTATTATAAGTTGAAACGTTATTGACGTTATTGTCTGTCTTAATCATACAAAACAGCTTACATATTTTATTATTTTGAAAAAAAAGAGGAATAAATGTCCTAATCCTTTTGGATTTTTTTATACTCAGTTAAAAGATGTTAAAAATTAACAAAAAATAAGGTGTAAATTGTAAATAAAATAAATACTGAATAAATATTAAATAAACATTTTAAAATTTTTTTTTGTCTGTTAAAATAAATTATATAGATAGGTACACATGTCATATAGATATATAGATAACTAGAATTTTATAAAGATGAAGATAAATATAATCGATCTAAAAATTATCTGTATAAGATAAAAAATTAGGTATTATCTACTTATCTAGATATTTCCCGACATTAACGTGCAGTATAAAGTTAAAGCATAAGTATAAAGCTTCAATTTGCCATTTAATTCAAAAGTTTATCTTGGATTCCTTTAGTTTGGTAATGAAATATAATATATATATGGTGACGGTGTGGTTAGATGTTGAATAAAATTTTTCGGTTCGAGTTCGACTCACATTAAAACGTTCGGTTCGACATACTAAGGTTCGGTTTGATATACCAAGGTTCGGTTTGAGACCGTATTTTTGAGTTTGACCCACCTCTAATACGTAGGTATTAAATGTTATTATAACGAACTACTCACATTCTATTATGATAGGATAGGTATAAATTGTACGGTGGAGAAGCCACAATTCAGTTCTGATTAAACTGAATAGGCAGATATTAAATTATTTAAAGCTAGAATTAATTACTTAATTATCTAGTAGGTTTCTATAGAATTATTCCAAATTCCAAATATAGCCAATAGTGGTGTACAGTCGTACAGAACCTATTGATATTGTCTTGGAGTGTATCTATCTGATGGTTGGGTCTGGTCTGGTGTCTACAACCAAACTATTAATTACTGTTAGCGATCAAATACTATTCAAATAATTTATAGTATTTGCAGTGACTTTGGCATGGGTTACTATATTTTTTGGGGTGGTGGTGGGGGGCTAAGCAATACGAATTTAAAAAAAAATTAACTTTAAAAAATCATGTTTTTTTGTGAACTACAGAACACTCGTATCAACCAGTAAAATATATATAAAGGTAATATAAACGGTAATAATAAGGGTCATTAACACTTAAAAGTTTGTTTACATTTTTTATTCCGGTGTTTGAACAAATAGACATTTTAAAATAATTATTAAAATTGAATTTTAAACCTTTCATAAAAAAAAACCATAAAACATACACCTATTACGTCTGTATTAAATACCTATTTAAGTATACAGTACTATGCGGGCATTCATTATTTAAATGTACTTATGTCACAGAGTTATGAACTAAAAATGCATTTTTTAATTTTGAGATTTAGTTACAAAATTATTTAATCAATATTTATCTTGATTCTTGAATTATATTTGTAAAAATAATTGTCTTATTTATTTTTGACAATCCGACTTTAAATCATAAAATAAATAGGCAACTTAACATGCAGAGTTTATGGTTATCAGTTATCATTCATCACCGATTTAATATTATCTGTGAGTGATAAATATGATAAAGTATTATCATTGAATGTTGTATATTTTTTCAAAGAAATATATTTCGGACTCTCAGTTTTTCTTGTGTTACGAACTATTTATTTTCTATAAAAATGGAAGATTTAAACATGAAACCTAATGATAAATGTCGGAATGCAAATGAATCGAAGTAATTATGAACAATTCACTGTGAAGTATTAAGTGTATATTTTTGTATTTGTTAAAAACATAGTTAGTTAACCTTTTTATTTTTTGAATTAGTTTAGAAACAAAGCCAGGATTATTAGTAATCAACTCCTATTTAAACCAAATAAATCCAGATTTGAAAGATGTTCAATCTGAAATCAGAGAAGTTGTGTAAGTACCTAGTCAAAATACTCGGAGATGATTTGATTGTGGTATAAAATTATAATTATAGTATTTATTATTTAATTTAGTTACCTACAATTATTTCTTATTTTAAAGTTTGCAGCTTATGCTTTTAAATACCTTGATGGTATTGGCTTGTTATATCCTTGCCTGGACCTATGAACACTTTAAAGCCCTATCACTCAGGTTTATTATTTGCCACCATCCATAATAAGTAGGTACCTAAATGGAATAAAACGTACCTAAACAAATATATATATTTATAATACAAAAATAGAATACAAGTGATAATTATTCATTTTTTATTATGTATAGTTTAAGTATCTACATAAAAATATAAATAAGCAGTGGCATGGTGACAATATTTCAAACCCTACTAAACCCACAGTGGTTATTGTTGTACCATTGTTTTATTGGTATATAGGTTTGTTTATTGGCTTTTAAACAACCTATATTATTTGATAAATTTCTATGGTACCAATAGGATATTGTAATGTTACATTTTTTCTGAGGACTGTCAAATTATTTACACGATATATTTATTATTATGGATGGCATCAAAATAACAAATCTGAGTGCTAATCAGGGGGCTAATAAGTTTTCACAGGACCAAGCTGGGATTAACAAGCCACTACCATATTAATCTAAGATAAAAATATAGATTATGTTGCTTACTGATAAATTGATGGGATCTAATTTGGTCTTGTACTTTATATAATTTTTAAATTTTAAGATACAAAATACATGTAAGATAATATTGTTAAAGTGATAAAATCTAATTTATACTAATACTTTTTAGCATATTCATAATCCATAAATAAGTTCAATAGAAAGTTTGATAAATTTATATTTTCAGTTAAAACAATAAGTTATTGTTTTCATAATACCTATAAAGTATATATAGTTTGTTTGGTTTAATATGTATGCATTGAACATAAATATTATTTGATTTTCATGTGTATGAAATTAAATGTTTATTAACATTTTTTAAATTATCTGAAAGTCTACTATTATAATATATGAATGTGTACTATATTCAATATTGTAATAGGTTGATCAACAGATTTATATTTTATTGTTTTTGAAGATAAAAAAAATGTTTGCTTTAACATATTTTATCAAACTATAAAAATTATTAAACATATAATAATAATAATTATAATATTATTGTTCATAAGTCTATTACTGTTATGTTATAAAACCCAAAACAGTGATATGTCAAAATTTACTATAGGTAACATTATGCATTGAACCAATAAATAATAATAGATAGGGGGACGAGGTGACCGAGTGGTCTGACGCGTCCGCTGCGATGCAGCCGATCGCGGTTCGATCCTCGGCCACCGGGCGGCATTTTTCTCTGGACAAGTCGCGGTGACCGGAGAACAAGTGCCGCCATCCCCCAACCGGGCATGGCAGAAACCTACGGGTGCCCAATAGAAATTCTGCCAAAACAAAAACACACACGTGTTCCCCCCCC